TCTTGATCTTATTCTAAATTAATTTATATAAAAAAATTAATTTTAATAAATTTGTCAATTTCCCCCCTTTCTATAGCCCCTTGCCCATATAATGTCGATCATTTATCAATTGATGAGCGCCCATTCATTAGAACTGTTACGACTTGGCTCCGTCTTGAGCCATGGATACAACTCGAGCCGTGGATACAACTTGAGCCGTGGATACAACTTGAGCCGTGGATACAACTTGAGCCGTGGATACAACTTGAGCCATGGATACAACTTGAGCCGTGACTCGAGACATGGCTTAGCTATGGATACAATGCTATTACTGGAAACGTGACACCCGATATCCATTTAAACATCTAAATCCGATCACTATCGCTATATCGATATACTTCGCATCAGTATTTCTAAATCAGGCTTATATTCATCCGTTCCTGGTTTAGCGAAAGTGCCACGCAGCTACTTATTTAATAAATAATTTATTAAGAGTCAATTGCTTTTTTTAAATAGATCATGGAGCATAACATTTGAATTTTTAGCCCCTCTAGACCAATCACTATTAATGATTAAAATGACAGGTTATTATCGTTATTTGATGAATTTGTAGTCCATCTCTAGTTAAAAGACTTTACGTGATTGAAAAATTTTAGAGAGGTCTGAAAAATTAAGAAAACATAAAATGATTATAAGATAAATACTTTGTTTATTCAAACTGCAATAATCAGTTCTAATTTTTTTGTTTTTTTAAAAAAAAAAAAAAGATTATATTTTTATTCGTTTACATACTATTTTCAATAATAATAATGATAATATATAAATAAATTATTATACGAAGTTCGAATATCAAACTATCAAGAAAAGTTTTTTTAAAAGAAGTATCAGTCTTATCATTATGTGAAGGTTAACAGAATACGTAATGATTTTAGAGCGATGTTAGAGAGGTTACTAAAATATTGTTTACATCAAATGTTTTGACATATTTGTAATGTTGATAATACGACCAATAAGTATTTTCATGGTTAATAATATTTAATCTTTTACACATACAATCGCGGAAATCCAAATTTGTAAAACAATATTAATGATTACAAAACGATATTAATGATCTAATCTATAATCAATTATTGATTTCGTTCATGAGCAGAAGTAAATAGTAAACGATAAAAGGAGAACAACGTTGAAGAAGAAAATATGGATTGTTTAGTTGAATTATGTGGAACAGGTTCCTGAATAGGATCGTAAAGGTCAAGTATTTCAGTATCTAATTCTGTACGAGCTTTTCTATCTCGTTCTAAATGACCTCTGTGTTCATGAAAAATGTTAACGTGAGTATATAATTCTTCGTCATCGTCATCTTCCTGCATCTGACGACTGTAAATTAGTAGTCTGTTATTCCTTATAGTCTCTGATGATGAATTGGAACAATTATCTATATCAATAGATCGAGTTGTTTGTGTAGAATTAGTTTGAAAAATACAGTAATGGGTGGACAGTTCGGTGATATTAGATTTTGAATTCATAGTCGTGACAAACTTGTAAAAATTTTCAAATGGGATTTTTAAGACAATATTTCGTTGGTAAAATACAAATAGTAAAATAAGGATAGTAAAAAATGTGTCTCCTACCAACTAAAGATCATTATATA